CAAATCCAGTTGCTTGTCAATTAACCCAGTACAACATCTGCATAAAGGATTTAAATAAGGAACATCATATTATGCTGTGTGATCAATAAAGTGAAAATGCAGGCACTGACAAGGCTTACCATTTGGCCTGATACCACAGCATCCATCTCTCTGAATGGAAGTTATTTATGCTCCCACTGAAATGTGGCTTGTATTCAAATATTGGCAAAGATGTAATGTACAAAAAGTGTAACATCTACAGTATGCTGTGGTTGGCTACAGCTCTTGGGGATCTCTTAAAAGAATAATTTCTCCTTCAGGAGTACAGCTCTCAGTCCAGGACTTAGAAGCAGATCCTTTTTATCTCAGACAAAAAGGTGCTGCTGAAAAAATTTACCAGAGGAGCAGATGTGTTCTTCAGCACACACATGTACAGTGGGAAGAACACCCTTCATGGTGCTGGCTAAACAGAAACTTCATTAATTAGAAAGAATCCTGATGTCCATAAAGTAAAACAAGATTCAGAAGATTCAGCCTTTTTCTCCATCAGGAAAAGCAAATGAGCTGATGGGGATAATGAAATGCATTGACAAATGAGTTCACTTTGGACACTCTAAAAGAATTAAGCTCCTTTATAACTTAAAAAAAAAAAAAACCAACCAAAAAACGCCCTCAGTACAGTGAGATGTCCCACATACAATCAATATGAGCACATGGAACAACTGTCCTCCCAGTTAATTTGGCAGCAGTAGCATTGGCTTCTCAAGTTGGAAAGACATTTTCTGCTTTTGAACAAACTGGTGATCTGCAAGTTGTGAGTGAGGAAAAAAGAAATCTATCCTGTTGAAGGGCTGCAAGTGAGTGATATAAAGTATGTGTAAAGGGTTCCTGTTATGTTTAACTGAAAATTTAAGCTCTGTGTTAAATAACTTCTTACCAACTTGTGATAGAAGTGTTTCCATTAAGAAATATTCCAGTGGAAACTAATTATAGGCAGATAAACTTCAGTAGTACCTGTGAAACAAACCTGTGGCATGGTGCTGCTACAGAAGCCAGGCGTGATGCATATTAGAGGAAAGAGAGGCTGTCTAGTGTCCAATACTCAACTCAAAAGAAACTCAGAAAACAAACATGGGTGGAGACCTAACATTTGGGAAGTGCGTTTCTATGCAGGCATTGTAAAAAACACAGTACTGTTGAACCTAGTGTTATTTCATTCTACCGGCTGACTAGAGATAGTGCCACATCCACTGCCACTGCAGGCAGTGGAAGCTCTTCCATAGATTTTAATACCATACCCTATAAAGTTCCATAATTTTTTTTCTTTCTACCTCACTCTCTCCCACAAAATAATTTTTGGCTCATGAGGTTTTTACTCCCACTCTTCTGAGTGAATTATTTCAAACTCTTGATACTTCACATGTGAATGTATAACATAAGCCCTATCAAAACATACAGAGATAAATTTCCAGTGTTCAGTCCTGAACATTACAAAAATTCATGAGCTCCCTAAATTTGAGGATTTGGCTTGGTACAGCAGGACAACGAACAAAAATGTTTGTTTCTAAACTCCCTAGTTTCTAAACTCCCTAGTATATCCAAGTGTAAGGCCTCTTAGGAATCTCGTATCTTCAGGAAATGGGCAACCTAAAGACCAAAGTGCTTTTTGTGGTTCTGCTTTAACAAGTGAGAACACAACTGAGATTTTAGATTTATAAAAATTTGGCTGATTTAATGGCACAGGACCTTTCTGAAACACAAGTCAAAATTATCCCTCTCCCTTTTGTTTGATCCCTATATTAAGTTCACAGCACTATATGTAGCCCTCCACTCTTGTTTAGAGCTCAGATGGCTTTGTACATGCTAAGGATGTATTTTATTGAATGTTGAATTACATGTTCCACAACATACTTATTCCTGGAGTAGATGTAGCCTCTGAGAAATGAGGCTGCTATGGAAAACTGGAAGACTCACAAGGACTGTAGGCTGCATCTTTGAAAAGTGTTGCCATGGTTGCAATGGAGAGAACCTATTCCTCTGGTTCTGCCACAGAACCTGGAGCCCTTGAAGAGGTGAATTGTGCAACCAGCCAAATAAGGGGACATAAGGGTGTGGGAAACAGGACTATAACTACAGAGAGATTCAGAAGTCAATGGACAGGTGCCCCAAACTATGATACTGGCAATGCAACCCCTTGAGAAAGGATGACCTCTCATATCAAACCGTGTGGCAAATATTTTCTGATAGGTGAAGAGTACTTGTATGAGTGTGTGTGTGTGTGTTTGTGTAGGTGGTGTTAGCCTGACCATGACAAAGTCAGGAGTCAAAACTGTTAAGCGACAGATGAATGTTCTCGTGGCAAAATGTAGTAAGGGAAAATTTGCTTAATTGGTATGGAAAGATACAAGACGGTGTTTGCCAATGATGGAATATAAGATAAGACAAATTAAACATTCTATAAACAATCATCTCTTCCTCTTGGTAGATTCTGTATGAATATGTCTGAGAAAAAAAAGAAACTGAAAAACTTTCCCAAGGCAAACTGTGAAAAGCTATGGCATGCTCTACACATCTAGAGAAAATGTCATCTCTCTTGTACTACAACACAGCCTTCTACTGAGATACTGGCCCGTAAAAATCATAAGTGACTTATTTTTACAGAAATCATCCAGACAAAAACATATAATCAGCTGCCAAAACTACAGTCCCTCAAAGCAAGAGGGGATAAGAATAAATACAGACCTTGGTTTTGCAGAGAGAACCACCATTACTCTGTAAGTGTAAATAGTGTAAGCAGTAGGTAATAATGCTTGTTTGTCTCACCTTAAAATATAGTGGAGAGATCAGAGCAGAGAAACAGGTGGTTGTGTAAGCTGCACAGGTCTTTTTATCTGTGTCTTATGTTAAGTATTACCAGACTATAAAGAATCAGGGACACAAGTATCAAGAGAGCTAAAATAAAACAATACCAATGATGGTCATAATAACACATTTATGTTTCTTTCCTTTTGGTTCAGAGCTGCTACAGCACACAAGATAAGTTTCTCTTGAAATCAGAGGACCAGAAATGAATGTTTTCCTTTTAGATGAAAGCCAAAATTCTTACTTGACTTGCATAACTGGAACTTCACAGAATTTCTACCACAGAACATCAGTTCACCAAACAACCATGACAGCTGACAACACTGTATTACAAAAACTACATTTAGGAAACAAGGAAAAATTGAGCACTGGTGTAAATCACAGCTACACCTTGTTCAAAAAGAGCCACATGCTCAGTGTCAAAAATGGGCAGAACTCCAAGTAAGATGTGTACTTGTCAATTAGTGGATGAAATTTAATCTGTAAGGGAAGAAACATATTGCACATGGGAGAGGATAACTCAGGGAGGGGTAATATCCAGACACAAAATAATATCTCCCACTTAACTGAAATCCCCAAAGAGGTAAGGGCGAGTGATAGTGGTGACTATCAATGGACAGCTTTTGGCTAGCTCACGTGAAATGATGTTGGCAGAACATACCCAGGTCTTACCTCTGCTGAACTTACAGGCTGGTTCGTGCAGGATCCCAGCCTGAGCATGCTCAGGCGAGTTTTGTAGCATTTAGGGGAACATTTGTGTGCACTTTAGGAAAGGAGCTCAAGGCTGCCTAGAAGAGCACTGCCTCAGCTCCCACTCCCGAGTGAGGGTCTGTGGGATATCTAAAGTGGTGGGCCATGGGGTACCCAGCACTCCTGAGGCAGCACAGCCTTTGTCCAGGCCTACCTGTTCATCTGGATAAAACTGAGAGGGGGCCTCATTCATGTGTAAAAATATCTAAAGGTGGAGGGGGGGAGGTGTCCAAGAAACTGGAGCTAGGCGCTTCTTGTTGGTGACAACCATTAGGACACGAGGAGCAATGGGCAGAAACTGACGCGCAGAAGTTCCAAATGAACGTGAGGAAACTTCATTACTGTGTGGGTGATGGCCACTGGAACAGATGGCCCAGAGAGGTTGTGGAGTCTCTTTTACTGGAGATACTCAGGAATCATCGGGACACAATCCTGTGCTCTAGAACGACCCAGCTTAGGCAGGGAGGCTGGAGCAGATGATCCACTGTGCTCCCTCCCAACCTTACCTTTTATGTGATTCTGTGATCCTTTATGCAGCACAAAATTTGATTTCTCTGTTCCTGTTTTACACAGCCTTGGCCATTCGTACCAAACCGACATAAATATTTTACTTCAGAGATGCTGAAGGCAGGTGAAGTGAGGGGACACGGCGTGCCGGGGAGGGTGCGGGAGGCCCGTGAGGGGCTGGGCTGCAGAGGCCGCATCTCCGACCCAGCCGTGACTTTCGGAAGCTGAACCCAGAGACGGGACGCTAAGAGCCGCCCTTGGCCCCACGGAGGGTCCCGGTTGAACCTACGCCTCCTCCTGGCGCCACGGAGGCAGCCGGAGGCGAGCCCTCCCGCCCCCGCCGCTCCGGAGCTCCAGGCCGGGTTTTGCGGGGGGCCGCGCTCCCCGCGGCGGAGCGGAGCGCGGCCGGGGCGCGGCGGTGCCAGCGCCGGGCCGGGCTCGGGAGGGGCAGGGAGCGCCCGGCGGGAGCCGGGGAGCAGGGATGGTGTCCTCGCCCGCGGCCCCCCGGGAGCGAGCAGCACTCCCGGGCCGGAGCCGGCCCCCGCGCTGGGCCCGGGGCTGTTCCGCAGCGGCGGCTGCGGGGCGCGGGCGGTCAGCCTCCTGGCGGAGCGACCCCGGGCCGCTCCCGGGTCCCGCGGGCTATTCCCGCGTATTGTTTCCCTGAGAAGTGCCGGGAGGCGGGGGGTGGGAAGGGGGATCTGCCTGCAGTTGCTCCACGTGCATCGATAGTTGTCAGTAACATCAAACTGACGTCATCCTCGGGTAAAAAGATCTTTCTTTTGTTCTCGTTCCCTCCCACCACTTCTCCCCCCCCAGCCCCCCTCTCCCCCCCCCGCTTAAAAATCAAAAGCCAGAACATTTGCAAAAAATAAAAATAATAAGAACTTCTCTCCCCCACATTAATTGCAATGCAAAGGGAGATGTTGCATTACGGATCCTGCCTGGGCTGTGCTGGGCTCTAATGAATGCGCCGAGCCTTTGATCTGGGTGAGTCAGTTGGGTTCAGTTGTGCCGGAAGGTTAGTTGCACATCCTGGCTGATCTGAAATTCGATCAGCAGAGGGGGCAAAGAAAAAGAAAAGCATTTTAATGGGAATCAATAGAGGATCACAGGGTCCTGGAAGGAAATAGGTGTTGATTAAAGATGTGTGGGTTTTGCTCGCGTTTTTATTCTTTTTACATTTTTTTTTCTTTTTTCCATGTACACGACTTGTTTAAAAATGAATAAACACCAAAAGCAGCCCGGCAGAATCGAGGGAAGGCATGCTGGAAAACAGCTTTCCCAATCACCCGTGTGTTTGTGTTCCAGGGAGGCAGTCAGCAGACAGGGAGTTTGTGCAATGCTTCAAGCTACAGCGCGCAAATTTAAAGCAGTAGGCTCCAAAGGATAGCTCCGGTTTTCACTGCACTGCATTTCTGTGCCTGAGCTGTTTACTAGTGCATTATTAAATAAGCCCAAAACACTCGTCCCTCTCCCCCCAAGCCAGCTTGGTTTTTTTCCCTCTCATTTCACCTCCCCCCGTTTCCTGCCTGCTGGTGAGCCACAGGGATTCGAGATACCCGACATGAAGGTGCAGACCTGTTTAGCTGCAGTCCCAGGTTTCAAAGCTAAACTTTCTAGGCACGTTTCCACTGTTTAGGAAATACTGAGCTGGAAGGTTCTGTATATGTTGCCTGACTTCACGTGAAAAAGAGGGAATTACAATTGTGTTGAGCATTTTTTCACTCAGGAGGAGGTGAGTCAACTTCCTACACAAAGGCTTGAATCACCCACCCTGCACAATGCAATAAAATCCAGATTCTCTTCCATTCATGTGTTCGTGTACACATGCACGTGCAAGAATGAGGATTGCAACTGAAGAACTGGGAGAAGCTGCTGGTGAAAGGCTGAACATCCCTGGCATGATTATATGCTGGCTGTCATCATAGAAACAGGGCATTGCTGCACCACGGTGGTCATGTTTTATCCAAATGGGAAACCTTCTGATCAGTTCAAGTTTCTTGTTGAGTTGCCATTTCTTCTGGTTTTGTGTTCTGGTTCTCCCTACCTGCTGCTAAAGATTTCCACGTAATTAAGAACTGTTGCTGTTAATGGTATTGCAGTGGTGTGTCCAAGTCCCATATAGAGCATGAAGTTATGAAGTACTCATTAACAGGCAGCTTTCCAAATGGGGACACAGAGTAGGAAGAAGGACCTCCCAGATGTAAAGCCAAAGAGGTTTCCTGCCTCCCAGGTAAACATAGGCCATGCTGTTTCACCACGTGGTGTTTGAATATCCTTATCAACAGCTGAATTGTAGTTGCAGTGATGATTTCCATTCTGAATAAGAAATAGAAAATACTTGTTTTAGCTTTATAATTTTTGCCCAATGTTTGTTTAAACTAAAATATTTTGGGGCACATTTTTGGATATTCTGGCAAATACTCATCATAATTTGCCTTCAATTTATATATATTTATATATATATGCTAGTCAATGTTTATTTTAGTGATCTTTGAAGAAAATTGTTTCACAATTCTTTGAAAAGAAAGGCAGTGTTAGATAACATGACCATATGACCACATATATACATTTTATAATAGTATGAGGATTTCTTCTCATATGAGATATAATTAATTTATTTTAAAATTATGATGACAATGATAATAATTTCTCTATTTGCTGCAGGACAAAATGCAATAGAAAATGGGCTATGACAAGTGCCATTGTCACTCACTATCCTGCGAACACACGGAAGACAATGAAAGGTCAACTACCTAAATTAGGTATATACCTCTTCTAGGTTTGTGCTCATGGAAGGTACCAAATTAACAGCCTAGGAGAATGAAGGGCTTCTTTTATTTTCAAAACTGGTATAATAATGGGATCTTTCCCACACCTTACCCTACTCATCACTGCCTCAAACCATTTTTTGGAATAGACCACAATTACACCTGGAACCTGCATAGACTTGTGTTTTTAAATTTATTTGTAGAGCTAAGTCATTAGTACTAAGAGGCTATGGAGACCTGAGAGGCTGTGGAGGCTGAGCTATCTGCTGAGAATGCTAAGAAAGTTGTGAATTATTCAATTTTTATGTGAATAGTTGTGAAATACCACTGGAACATTTCATATAAGCCAACATTCAGCAGATTACCTGCATCCATTCTGGCCTAGATTTGATCTATGAATGAATGGCTTTCAAGCCCTTAAAAATGCCCTAGGCAATCCTGTTCTATTATCTCCACCATTGTTTTTCCATCCAGATACCAGAGGGATGAGCACAATCAGCAGAGAAAATGAAAATCAAATTGCCTACCAAGAGCTGACCATATGGGGCAGCTGGTTGCTGCTTCCCAACCCCCTGCCTGATGTCTTTTCCCTGCCTCTGATGATGCGCTACTGAGTGCTAGTCAGTCCCTACATCCCTTCCAAATCTGTTTTTATGCTGCTGACAAGCAAATTTCCTCAGGTTTTTTATTTTCTGATAATGTATCCTATTTTCCCTCCAGTTTTCTTGTTTCTCTGCAGACTAAAACTGTTTGGTGTGCCCCCCTCT